CCTGAAGTTTATTGTCAAATGGGACTTGTGTGAAACCTTGCCAAACTTGTCATTGTGCCTGAGATTCTTTTTAACAATGTGTGTCTGTTGCATCATGTGAAAGAAGTTTCTCTAAATTGAAACTCATCAAGAATTATCTTCGTTCTAGCATGACTCGGGCAAGATTGAACAACCTAGCTATGATTTCTATCGAAAATGAATGTGCCAAGACAGTTAATTTTGATGAAATAATCGGTAAGTTTGCTGAAGCTAAGTCACGAACGATGAGGCTGTAAAACTATTATATATATATATATTTGCGTTAGATGAAAGTATACCGCTTGTATCTCGTGGTTTCCTATGTTTTTAGAACACTCTAGTGCTATTGGTCAAGTTTCTGATAAAAGTGAGTTGAAGAAGGCTGTGCCCTTCTCATTGTGTAATACCTTATTTTATGTGTAACTTGTAGTTATATACAGTATGGTTTCTGTACTTTGTATATTTGAATTACTTGTACTGTATGTGCTTTGTTGTATCGTGTAAATTTTGTTGAAATTAGGAAATACATTTGTTTATATACAGTATACTGTAGATTTCCTAAATACCATCCACATTTACAAACCTGCTTTTTATTTACGAATATTACACTTGATGTAGGCTACATTATACTTGAGTAAAAAAAATAATAATCTTCCATATTAATAGAAGGAAACTAAAACATTTATAATATTTACTATGTATAATCCAAAATTCCTTAAAAGTATTATTATTTTTTTTATCATTCGTCTCAGTAGAGGAAGAGTAAGGGGGGCAAAGGAATGCCCTGCCCTGGGTGCCCAGTACTCTAGGGACGATTGTGTATTTTACTTTTACTGTATATTTATTCATCTCTGGAAGGAAGGGGGTGCCAGTGGATAGGTCCGCCCCGGGTGCCAAATACTCTGGGAAGGCCCTTGCTCTTAAGTTCCTTTGATTTAGTGGGCTACAGTTTGGGGATCTTTAGATACACCTGTAGGAATTCGTGGTATAATGTTGTCTAGCACTCAGGATGGATGGAAACTCTAAGGTGGTTTTCTTGTATAATATAAGTTATATGATAGACAGTCTGGTGCTGGAGGTGCCGTGTGGTGAGGAGCTGCTCAGTAGAGACGTTCGGTGAGTAGCGTGTTGAAGGAGGTAGATGTGCAGGAGCTTCGTTAGAGAAGATGTTGCCTGTTGCTGGCCTCCTGGTTGAATGAATGCTGACAGCGTGGAGCTTGCTGGAGGAGGTGTTGCTTGTTCAAGAAGAGAGACCAGAATGAGAGTTGGTTGGTGAGGACGCTCAGAGAAGGACAGCTGGTGGGTCGCCATGCTCGCTGGCGGGAGCGAGGACCGCCAGGCAGGCGGAGGAGGAGGTGTTGTGTGTTGTAGAAGTGAGGCCGGAATGAATCTCAATGGAGAGACAGAGCTTATATACCCAGCAGCCGTGAGTCCTCTATGAGTCATGTTGGGAAAACCCGAGAAGTAACCGGTCTTTTGCTCGGTTGCTAGGATACCGTACCATCTGGTGTCGCCGCTCGCTTGGTTGCTAAGGAAAGCGTCGCAGGTGGGATGCAGCTACGCAGTTTGTAGGGGAGACGTCCACTACACACCCGTCAATAAGTAAGTCCCCTTTAATTTAATTTTACACCACTTGGACTCTTCAAAAACATCCTCTCCCTGTACCTTCACCTGAATGGCTCTAATGTCTTGCCTAGCACAGATAACCACACCCCTCTTGCAAGTTAAATATTATTTGGGTTGTTATAAGTATTTTATCATAATATATAAGCTATTCACTTAATCCTAACAATATAGTAGTCTGTAGTACACATGACGTCGCATTTCATTATTTGTCAACAAACTCATGTGGTTACCAGGGAAATATATTGTAATTATGGACGATTTTCACCTTGTTTATGTATCGAAAACAACTGAAACAAGTATATATATGTTTATTATAATATCAGTAAGTTACACATTTTATATAGTATGATAAACTGAGTTCTTTTTGGGATATTTTGGCCTCTTATGTTGGCCAGGATCAGGATGTTGTTGGCATCTACCTCCCAGCCAAGAGGAGGCACCAGCTCTACCTCCCACCCAGGAGGAGGCGAGCGCCGTGTAAGCAATGCCATTCGACATTCCTCACCACACCCTGCAAAATACAGTGTACCTAGCAAATGCTGCAGCTTCTAAGAACGAAAGGGGGCGTGAGTTTCTACCAAGAGCAGAGACGTTACCGAGAGCACTACTGAAGGTACACCAACCCGAAACAGTACAGTGGTTCCTCGGTTAACGAGCACAATCCGTTCCAGCAGGTTGCTCGTTAACCGAAACCATTGTTTCAATGGGTTTTTGGGTAATTGGTTCCAGCTCACCGAAAATTGCCTAAATTCAACAAAAAAGGTAAAGTACACTTACTTTGAGGTGTGTATGTAGAAGGCTCCTGGATGATGATGATAATGATGGGAATTAGAATGGGGGTGGAGGAGAAGGAAGAAGAGAAGGCATTGGGGTGGAAGAGAAGTCACCCCATGGCACCATTTCACCCATAAAATTTGAGTTCTCTTGGTGTAATTCAAGATTATTTTCTTTAAATCAACACTGCACTGCATTATATTTTGTCAATATGTAAAATATATTTCAAAATGACCAATAATTTGCTTGGAAACACAGAAAAAAGCGTTTAGTTGAAGAGAGTCCCAAGCAAGATGTTACCTCCAGTGAAAACAAAGAGAGACTAACGCCTGTCTGGTGTGTTAACAGGCTGGATGGCACGCCAGAAACTAGTTTCTTTACCTTCAATTATGTTCAATAATTGTTAAAATGACTAAAAAGTTAATACAGTGACCCCTCGTTTAACGAACGCCTCGGTTAACGAAATTTCGGTTAACGAACTGCCTTCCATAAGGATCTTCAATTCGGTTAACGAACAAAAATTCGGTTAACGAATATCTTATGAACCGACCTCAACATGTTTTCGCTTGCACTGACCGGGCAACCAGCTTTAGTATCAGTCCGCCAATACATTAATCGGTTCTAGGGCTTAAATTCCTTACTATTTTAGTAAATATCAAGAAGTTTATACTATACAATAATTTTAAAAGTTTAATATTCAATTTTTTAGTGATTTTAACAATTATTGAACATAATTGAAGGTAAAGTGACTAGTTTAATGCGCGGCATCCAGCCTCATAACACAGCAAACAGGCGTTAGTCTCTCTCTGTTTTCACTGGAGGTAACATCTTGCTTGAGACTCTCTTCAACTAAACGCTTTTTTTCTGTGTTTCCAAGCAAATTATTGGTCATTTTGAAATATATTTTACATATTGACAATATATAATGCAGTGCAGTGTTGATTTAAAGAAAATAATCTTGAATTACACCGAGAGAGCTAAAATTTTATTGGTGAAATGGCGCCATGGGGTGACTTCTCTTCCACCCCAATGCCTTCTCTTCTTCCTTCTCCTCCACCCCCATTCTAAATTCCATCATCATCATCATCATCATCATCATCATCATCATCATCCGCAAGGTTGGTGTGGTTATTTTCAATTTTTTCTATCATATTACCCACTTATCAGCTTACTTGCTGTTTGGGAGGTCTATCCAGTGTTAGTACAGGAGGAAACCGGGAAATCTGTGGTGTTTGGTAGTGTAACACTGGATAACACCCTTCTCATGTGTGTCCGGGCCGAGGCTTGAACCCTTGACATTAAGGTTAGAGTTATGCGCGTTACTTTTTTTTTATGTTTAACAAATTTATTGACAAAGCTTGGAGTACAGTTTGCCTTTTCTGAGTAATTCAGTCAGGTCTTGACACTGAGGGTGGTATCACTTTACACTGCCACGCAGGACAGAGGTTCATATACAAAGAAATACATCATATTCATTAACTATATATATATATATATATATATATATATATATATATATATATATATATATATATATATATATATATATATATATATATATATATATATATATATATATATATATATATATATATATAATCAGATTCATGTGGGTGATGTCAGTGTTTACTGCCACGCAGGACAGAGGTTCGTACACAAAGAAATACATCATATTCATTAGCAGTATATACAAGTATAGGTCAGAGTCATGTGGGTGATGTCACTGTTCGCTGCCATGCAAGACAGTGGTTCATATACATTGGACGTTATATTCTAATTGAAGACTAATCAGTGTGGGCTAGCAAATTTGGGATAAACAGCAAGAATGTCCCCAAGCACCCCTGATTCAATGTACAGTAGTACAGTAATTACAAAGTTCATGATACAATAAGCCAGGTGGCCTGAAGTCTTTGACAGTGTCACATTCAATAATACTGTATAGTGTTCAAGTGTATGCTTTAAATGTTTATCACAAAGTTTACATGCTGAGTTACTGCTGTACCACCAACACCAATCTGTAAAAGAAAAATGAAAAGACAAATTATTTTCTTTCTTTAATCAGTTGCAACTGGGGTTTGATTTGTACCTGCTCGGATATGAGATGTGTTGTGTAGACTGTCACCAAGATCTATTGCTGCGCCACATAGTAGTATGAACGTATTGGCCCACCAGAGGCAGCTATCCACCTAATCAAGTACCAGGTAATGGCTAGTGGCTACTGACGAAGACTTAAGCATAGTTAAGGTTTGTGTCCGAATTCGTTTGGAAAAAAAATCCGTTTGGCTGTATTTTAACATGAAACTTATTTTCTCATATATTACCAATATTACTAAAAATTACAAATAAATCCATCAAATAAGAATATTAATGTATAAATAAATCGATTAAATTTTTCTTAGCAACACAATCACCGCTGTAAGATATCCATTCGAACAATTGAAGGAGCATGCATATCAAAATATATAATCCTAATTACCTAATTAACTAAAGCTACTTAAAGAAAATAATATTTTTTATACAGCCAGACAATAAGTGATAAATGCTCAAAATAAATTTTATATAGGATATCCCTGCCTCTTCCAGCTGTCAATGTTGTTGTGGAGTGAGGCGTCTGCAGGGAGGAGTTCCACTTCGGTAAAATTACTCCCAGTAGCCAATTAAACATAACTACTTCACAAAATCATGCAGAACGTGATTAACACAGTGAAGGGCAAGGCGCTGGGGGTCGCAGAATATCTTACACCGATACTTAAGGTAATATTTGGAAAACAAATTGTGCTCTGAAGAATATATATATATATATATATATATATATATATATATATATATATATATATATATATATATATATATATATATATATATATATATATATATATATATATATATATAAAATATATATATATATATATATATATATATATATATATATATATATATATATATATATATATATATATATATATATATATATATATATATATTATATTGGTACCTCTTAGGTTCTTTAAGTAAGCAATTCTTGACTCGTATTCTTAAATATTCTTATGATGAATTTCTCCCCACCAGGGGATACGAAAATGAATCTAAGTCACTCAAGCATTGGTACAGCAGTTAGGATATAAATTACACCGAGATTCTAAGTACATGAGTTGGTAATTATATAGGATTAAACAGCGGTCGAAATTTATTGAAAACGATTATAAAAACGCCGGATTTTCACTGTTATTTTATAGTGGACACTGTTTTAGCTTGTGCAAATGTGCTAAAAATGGATAGTTTTAAAGTAAACGTTACTTAACATTTATGGGTATGAAGAACAGACCTAACCCACCTAACCAAACAAACCTACAGTACCTAACCTTACCTAACATTCTCACCATTCCCCCGGACCCCTGGTATATTAAACAGAAGGAACTTACTATGATATGTTGAAATTTGAGGCATTTTCTGGATGTGAGATGTATCGGTGCTTAATGAGCCTGGGCAGCAGATTGATTTGTTATTGAGATGGCGAAAAATGCGAGCCACAGCGTCGATGAAGTGATGGATGATTGTTTCCAAACAACAACTGACTTAGCAGACAAACCCAGTTCTATTTCACAGTATTGCTGTGAACAATACTTTCTACTTAAAGGAACGATGCCTTGGTCTTTGAAAAACTTTAGGGTCTCATTGTCTTTTTCCCTAAATTTGCAAATTACATCCATATAAGACCGGCGACAACGTTCACATGTCATGCTGATAATGAAACTGCCGCAGGGAAGAGACGAAGACAAGACTCCTCTCTTGAGTGCTGCCTTATTACCGCCGGCAAGACACGCAAGATAAACTGCAGGGGTGGTCTGAAAAATGGCAAATGAAATTCAACACCAGCAAGTGCAGCGTACTTAATATTGGAAGAACAAATACTGATAATGTATACAGCCTTAACAACATCAACCTAGAGAAGTCAACTTGTGAAAGAGACCTAGGGGTACTTGTAAGCCCAGACCTACGGCCTAGAAAACAGTGCGTTAATGTTCGAAATAAGGCAAACAGAGTATTGGGTTTTATATCTAGAAGTGTAAGTAACAAGAGTGCAGAGGTCTTATTGCAACTATATCTTGCGCTAGTCAGGCCGCACCTCGATTATGACCCCCTCTGGACAGCATGTAGCTCGTTAGGTAGCGGGCAGAGTGGACTAGACATTGGGTTAGGTTTTCCATTGACCAGATCGATAAGGGTAAAGAAGGGTGAAACCATAACATGTCTTAATTGATTTATTCCTTATAAAACATACTGGTAAAAAAAATATATACAACCACACTGTGGACCATAACTCCAAGGACTGTCCCAGGGTATAGCACTGGCGCCTCTAACAACTGCTGTTGTGGTCGGTTACACTCCAACCCGAGGTGGGTTTGGGGTCCTCGGCCCACGAGGTAGAGTAGAGCCGATTAATCATGCCGAATCAGCGCCATCACTCCTATATTGACCACTGCTGGGTATCCACCGGCTCCGAGCGACCGGTGGGTTTCAATTAAGCCCACCCTCGATCTGGAGACAAACGGGGCAGCGTCAGGGGACTGAGAAACATGACAACACCAACAAACTCTCTTGTCTAGACGACAGACGTATTTACGTTATATTACTTCTACACTGGGTGAATGACAATTCAACTGTTAAATCATGAACACTGGTGAACACTGATATTCACTACAATTGACTGAATTAACTGAATGGCTAGGGAACACGGAACATACCTGGAGACAAACGGAGCAGCGTCAGGGGACGCGCTCCCTGGCCATCTTGAGTTTATATACCCCTGAGTTGCCAGTGATCGCTACTCACGCAATGACAATAATCACAAACAAACTAACTGTTACTCATTCAAAGATGACCCTCAGTTGACGAAGGTCTGGCGAATTACTGAAGTTGATTTAAACAGACTAATTCAAGGTTGCGTTTGCCAGTAGAGAGTGCAATAAACGTAGTGACAACTGTGTTCGAAGGCGGGACTTACTGGGAGTGCTCAGGCAAATAATTCCCCTCCACAATCACTTCATCTAACTCCTCCTTAAAAGCTTCAGCAGCACCAACATCGGCACTAGCTGCCTCTCCACTCACCTTAACATTGTGTAGACTGTCGCGTTTTTTAAATCTATCAAACCACCCATGACTTCCTGTAAAGGTTTGATCATATTCATCTCCTGCCTGCTCCTTCAGGCTTTGGAACAGGCTTCTTGCTTTAGCCTGTATGGTTAGAAGGCTTAAGGGTACACGCTTCTGTATCTGGTCTTCTATCCATATCACCAATAATTTTTCCATATCGTGAATAGGACCTTGTCTTTTCTTTGAAATTATAGTTCCCTTTATAGGTGTTGTTCCTTTCACTACATCACGAATACGTTCCTTGTCCTTCAGAATAGTGGATATGGTCGAGTGTGAGAAACCTAGGTCACGTGAGATTGTTGCTACAGTTTTTCCAGTCTCGTGCTGAGTTATTATCTTCATTTTCATCTCAAAAGTAATTCCCTGCCTCCTTTTCTTTGGAGCACCACCAGCACTCTCACTTTTACGCTTTCCAGTCATTATAAAGTCAATTAAATACGATAATAACGAAAGTTCACAGCGTGATCAGTACAGTATAGGATACGATAGCCAAACACCAACTAAGTGCTCCACTGAGTAGACCCGAGCCCGCCACGCTCTCGCCCGGGACGGAAACGTTTCGGTATAGAAAATGCCCGCGTCATTTGAAAATATTTTTGGTCACGACTGCCGCGGTCGTATGTCCCGACGGTCGTAAGGTCAGAGCAGGTCGCAAGTACCGATGGACGTAAGTCCAAGCAGTCGTAAGTCGGGGACTTCCTGTATATGTATGCACTATTTTCTATAGAAATGGCAATGATTTTCTGTATATGTAATGTATTTCATTGGGCAAGGGAAGGCTCAGGAACGTAACTCCCGTATTTTATCAATTTCTTATGGGGAAAATTGATCCGCTTACGTTTTTTTTTTTTTTTTGGCACCCCCCCTACATCCTTGTGTAAGGTGAAGCTCAGAAGCGTTTACAGCACCCAACAGGGAAGCATGCTAAGATCATGCTTGCCTTTATGTCTCATGAGTTAAGGGCGTAGAAGCCTGAAGAGTCAATGGTTTATGTCATCAAGTTATTGGAAGCTCCAACAACTTGTCCCTGAATACGAATTCGCAACTTTCGACTTACAACAGGTACTTACTTTACTGCTAGGTGAACAGGGACTAATGGGGGCTAGGAAGTAAGTCCAAACAACTTCCACCGGCCCGGGAATCGAACCCGTGACATCTCGCTTGCGAGGCAAGAACGGTACCGCTTCTACCACCGGTCTCCCCTGCTTAACGTTGTTTCGTATAACGTTGCATTTTAATGAATGTAACCCTGGCGTTAAGCGAGGATTTACTGTATTTAGATTGAATCACGAATTTGGTAAACATTGATTTAAAAAAAAGGTTGGTATTGATGACTGACTTTCTGATGAGTTATTTGTTTTGCTGTTTATTTTCTTACTCTATTTTCATCAGTGAGTTCTGATATGATAATAATTTCTTATGTAAATGCTTCATTTGGTAGATAATTAGGTGCCTATGAAAAATCGGGTGCGGGTCAGTTGTCAATAATTACCAAACAAAAGGTAATTTACGAGGAAACTGCTACCACCAGAAGGAGTAGTTTGATTCAGTTAATTTTTTTTCACAGATTTTTTATCATTATAGTAAGCATTTTAAGAGATATGCAACATTTTAATTTAATTATAAGTATTTTTTATTTTGTTCTTAATCTACAATCATAAATCACATGTAGTGGGCAGGGCATAAAGGATGAGGGAAATTGCTGGGTGAAGTATGTTGAAAACTGATCATACAGTATTACACTTTCCAAATTAACTGATCATACAGTATTCCACTTTCCAAATTAACTGATCATACAGTATTACACTTTCCAAATTAACTGATCATACAGTATTACACTTTCCAAATTAACTGATCATACAGTATTACACTTTCCAAATTAACTGATCATACAGTATTACACTTTCCAAATTAACTGATCATACAGTATTACACTTTCCAAATTAACTGATCATACAGTATTACACTTTCCAAATTAACTGATCATACAGTATTACACTTTCCAAATTAGATGATCTCCCACCAATCACATTTCAGGACACAATCATTCTGCCAAATTCTAAAATAGATATGCAAGGCCTCACCATTTCCTCTAATATATAATGGAAGCCACTCATCCACAACATTGCTAAAGCTGCCTCCCGAAAACTGGGAATGCTGTACAGATGCCGTAGCTACTTCACTCCTGAGCAGTTACTTCAAGTTTATAAGGGATTCATTCGTCCTAACTTGGAGTACTGCTCTCATATCTGGGGTGGCTCTTCTTCTGTCTAACTGTTAGATAGGGTGGAATCAAAGAGATTTTGTCTTATTAACTCTCCTCCTTTAGTTTACAATCTTTCTTCCCTTTCTCTTTGCCACAATGTGCTTCACTCTCTCTCTTTTACAAGTACTTCAACGGGCAATGTTCGGTGGATTTGGCATCCTGTTTACCGCCGGCAAGGCTGTGGGCTCGTAACACCCGTCTTGCCCGCGATACCCACCGTTTCTGTGTGGATGTCAGTCACACTAAAAAACCCATTATAGTACATCCTTCTTTCCTCATACAGCCAAACTCTTGAATGCTTTGCCTTCTGCTGTGTTTCCATACTTATACAATCTGTCTCACTTAAAAAAAAATGGTTTTCCGGCATCTTTGTGGTGTAGATTACGGTAATATAATCTTTTTCTCTTCTATTTTTAATTTCTTTTTGCTCTTATTTCCCCCTCCTAGGCCTCATTGTGGGTTGATGACCTGTGCCCAGATAGGCTATTCCCTGTATAAAAAAAAATAAAATAAAATACTTGTCTGCTTTGTATGTGAAGAAATGAATTATTTACCATGAATACTCCTCCAAAAAATCTGCCTAGTCAGCATGTATTGTCGCCTGCTTGTTTGTATATACCCGACTTGCTTGGTCCGAGCGTCCTCCCATCCACAAAAAAATTAAAATTACACCATGACCCTTCAACAAAGTTGCTTTCATTAGTACCAGATATCAAAATAAGTACTTTCTGTTTAATATGGCAGTTAGATAAGGTTTGGTAGGGGTCTTTGGTTGGTTAGGTCAAGTTCTTTTACGTTTAAGTAAATGTCACCTCTTTTATATTGCAATATGTACTTACTATAATGATAAGAACATTTATAAATAAATGAAACAAATCCATAAACTTTTTCTGGTGGTACTGGTGTTTTTATACATTACCAATAAGAGTTGTGGGTGAGTGTAACAAGTTACCAAACACCATCATTAACTCAGACACAAGTACTGTACCTGTATTCAGTATGTAACACATAGAATTTTATTTAGTGTAAGTTAGAGTCATACAGTATTCAGCAATTTTGGCTCAGTTGATACTGTGCAGTATAGTAAAACAGAAAGAAAAAATACCTTCATTGTTCGTGCTGTTAACTGTACTGTATTTTCCTTCTTGGTTTACTTTTGTGGTAAAATGTATATTTTTTTGTGATTCTGTATCTGTATAGAGACAATATACATTGTTATATGCTATATTACTTTAATTGTAGGAATCCAGGTTCAAGGAGACTGGAGTACTAACACCTGAAGAATTTGTTGCTGCTGGTGATCATCTTGTACATCACTGTCCCACTTGGCGTTGGGCAGCTGGTGATGGCAGCAAGACCAAGCCGTATCTTCCACAAGAGAAGCAATTTCTTATTACCAAGAATGTACCATGCTACAAGCGATGTAAGCAGGTATGTTTGAAGATGATGTAATATTCCTTCAATAAAAAAATGTGTTTAAAGCTGCAGATTTTTTATTTTTTTTAATGGACTGTACATAGTTCTTTGCCATGAGTTACAGATGAAATTATATGCTTATGTATGCAGCACAGCCTTCATTGTCAGATCTATCACAAAACCTACATCTTTTTCATTATCAACAGTATCTTTGTTTCTTGCACACAGTAAACTTCAAATTTTTTGCGGCTCATTGTTTGCTCAATCTCACATGCTCTTCCATGTTCAGACTGCATAGGTATAAACACATAAGAATGATAGTGACACAGTGAGTGTGGTGGTGACTGTTTCTAGGGCACTACTTTAGTAAGCCACACCAGTATAGTATATGAAGGATGAAAATAAGCCAATTGATTTAAAGAGTTAGAGGCAGAAGAGGATCTGGGTATGATAGGTAATAACAAATTGTCAATTAAGGAACATTTACAGGATGAAGCAAACCATACAAACCACTCGGTAAACCTGATCCAGCAAACTTGCCTACCTTGATAGGGGTGTTGGCGGTACAGCGGTAATGCGAATAACTCTCACCAATATGTCAAGGGTTCGAGCCTCGTCCCGGACACACATGAGAAGGGTGTTATCCAGTGTGACACTACCAAACACCACAGGTTTCCCGGTCCTCGGTTTCCTCCTGTACTAACACTGGATTGACCTCCCAAACAGCAAGTAAGCTGATAAGTGGCGAATATGATAGAAAAAAAAATCTCCAGCGATGGTTGTGGAAACCTGTGGACACTTAAAACTGGGTGCTTTACCATGGTTAGCAAAATTATAAACAAAATATAAAAGGTAGATACCCAAAACTGTGGTTGGTAAACATGTGGTTGGTGAGGCAATACTACTGTATATTTAACCAAAAGAGTTTTAATATTCCCCTGACAGATGGAATACCGGAGTGAACAAGAGTTGGTGCTAGAATCTGAAGGTGACCCAGACGGAGGCTGGGTAGACACACATCACTTCAGTGACTCAGCCATACTGGAGGAAAAAGTGGCAGACATGGCTTTAGAGGATAAGGTTTGTAAAAGGGATTTGTTGTATACAGTACAGTGACCCCTCGTTTAACAAACGCCTCGGTTAACGAAATTTCGGTTAACGAACTGCCTTCCATAAGGATCTTCAATTCGGTTAACGAACAAAAATTTGGTTTAACGAATTTCTTACGAACCGACCTCAACATGTTTTCGCTTGCACTGACCAGGCAACCAGCTTTAGTATCAGTCCGCCAATACAGTAATCAGTTTTAGGGCTTAAATTCCTTACTATTTTAGTAAATATCAAGAAGTTTATACTATTCAATAATTTTAAAAGTTTAATATTAACTTTTTTTTAGTAATTTTAACATTTATTGAGCATAATTGAAGGTAAAGAAACTATTTTCTGGCATGCCATCCAGCCTGTTAACACACCAGACAGGAGTTAGTCTCTCTCTGTTTTCACTGGAGGTAACATCTTGCTTGAGACTCTCTTCAACTAAATGCTTTTTTTCTGTGTTTCCAAGCAAATTGTTGGTCATTTTGAAATATATTCTACATATTGACAATATATAATGCAGTGCAGTGTTGAGTTAAAGAAAATAATCTTGAAATACACCAAGAGAACTAAAATTTTATGGGTGAAATGGCGCCATGGGGTGACTTCTCTTCCACCCCAATGCCTTCTCTTCTTCCTTCTCCTCCACCCCCATTCTAATTCCCATCATCATCATCATCCAGGAGCCTTCTACATACACACCTCAAAGTAAGTGAACTTTTCTACCATTTTTGTTGAATTTTGGAAATTTTCGGTGAGCTGGAACCAATTACCCAAAAACCCATTGAAACAATGGTTTCGGTTAACGAACTTTTCGGTTAACGAACGACCTTCTGGAACGGATTGAGTTCGTTAACGGAGGAGTCA